AGGATTTGAATGTCGAGTGGTGAAGATTCGAGTAATTTGGTATGGTTGGACTCGTTGTTGAATGGGTTTTTGGATTTTATTAATTTTGTTGGATTCCGAGACGTGAGCCCGAGGTTAACTTTTTGACTTTTTCTTAAGAACTTAGCTTTATAATATGGAACTATAGCTTGTGTTGATTGTATCGAGTTATTTGTGGCTAGATTCAAGTTCTTTGGAGGTCGATTCGCGAGGCAAGGGCTTGTTGGAGTAGAGATTTGCGCGATTTGAGGTATGTAACACTTCTAAACTTGATTCTGAGGGTATGAACCCTTGAATTATGTGTTATGTGGTTGGTGTTGAGGTGGCGCACATGCTAGGTGACGGGTGTGTGAGCGTGTATTGTAGGAATGGTGACTCGGTCGATTCCATGGAACTGTGTAGTCAAATAACCTTGTCATTATCCATATATTCTCCATGTGTTAGAGAAATCGAGTTGTGATTCATGTTACAAATCATGCTTAGCTATATGCTGGTACTGTTGGGACACACAGAGGTCGTGTTGTTGAATTACTTGCTTAATTTGAAATTATGTACTCGGTCACACCTATCATTTGCATATCATATCTTAGTCTCTGTTGCCATATAGTGATACATCATATCATCATTGTTTAGGCTGACTGTCATGATATTCGTGAGCCCGAGAGACTGGAGAGAATGATGACTGAGTGAGGCCGAGGGCCTGATTTGAGGACATTTATGAGATCGGACTGCACGTCACAACAGGCTTTATTTGGGCTGGATCTGCCCCTTCGGAGTCTGACTTACTAGCAGTGAGCGCATGTACCTACTGAGTGTGAGTGCCGAACGCAAGTGCCGAGCGATTGGGAGGATTGAGAGACTGTAAGGATTGGGTGACTGAGAGGACCGGGGGAATTGATACTCCGAGAGTATGCATATGATTTTATCACTGGGCGGCATTACAATTGGCATGCATAATTGACACGCAGATATAGAGATGTATCATTCATCATTTCGGTCACACTTGGCATATTTTATCTGTTTTGAGCTTAAACTGATAAACTTGAAAGCATGTCGACATTTCTGTACTGATAATTATGTATGAACTGTATCTATTGAGCTCGTCACTGCTTTCAGCCCAAGGTTAGTCTTGTTACTCATTGTGTATATTGGGTCGGTTGTACTCATACTACACTCTGCACTTCGTGTGCAGATCCAGGTACTTTCGATTATGGCGGCTGCTAGCTTTGTCTGTCGGAGACTATCGAGGTAGCTGCCTTGGCGTCCGCAGACCTTGACTCTCCCTCTTTTCATTTACTTGTACTGTTCTATCTTTCTAGACAATATTTTTAGCATTCAGACTATGTTGTCATTTAGATGCTCACCCTACTAGAAATTCAGCAAAAACCGACCAAGAAAAACTGACCAACTTTGGTCGGTCATTGACCGACCAAATTTGGTCGGTTTTCTTTGGCGCAAAAATGTGGAAAACTATTTTTGAGTCCCGCAAAGTTTATTTTTCCAAAAACCGACCAACTTTGGTCGGTTTTTCAATTAAAATAAATAAAAATTAATATTAAAAAAACCGACCAACTTTAGTCGGTATTCTTAGGCCGGTCATTTTAAAAAACCGACCAACTTTGATCGGTAATTTTATTTTTTAACAAAACCGACCAACTTTGGTCGGTTATTTTCGTGCGAAAATACAATTAAAGAGTATAAATAAATAAAAAGACAATCTTAAAACAAAATGCACCAATGGTCTAGTGGTAGAATATTATCCTCCCACAGTACACACCCCGGTTCGATTCCCAGATGGTGAATCTTTTGATTACATAATTGAAATACCGACCAACTTTGGTCGGTTTTTCTTTTGCAATATTTTTCTTTGAATTTAATTGACCGACAAACGTTGGTCGGTAATTTCTGACCAACTTTGGTCGGTATTCTTAACCGACCGTTAAAATACCGTCCACACGTAAATGGTCGCGTTTTGGTCGGTAATTGGCCATAACCAACCAACTTTGGTCGGTTTTTTTGGTCGGTTTTTGGCGGATTTCTAGTAGTGTCATGTACTCAGTGACACCCGAACTTTGGGGGAATATTGTATTGAATTGCGGTATTTTCGTATCAGTATTTATGAGATTTTACTCTTAAACTTATTTTGTTATGTTTTCAAACTTAAAGATAGGTGGTTTATTGTGATTTTCAGCTTGCCTAGTTTTGCGAGTAGGCGCCATCAGGACATGTGAGATTTAGGTCGTGACACTAGTTTAACATAATAGAGATTTATGTACGTTGGATTACATTAGTGTACTTATTAGTCTTGCATTCAAACTTGCATATTGATTTTGCTCTTAACTTAATTGCGGCACGTTGATCTTGGTCCATGCAGTTGTTTTTATGCATGTGAATTGGCCATGCAAGCATGTTGAGATGGGTCCATGCTGTTATGATATTACGTATATGTAGATGGATTCGTCCCTCTAGAGTTACTGAACGCCAGAATTTTATCAGTAGTGTGCCTGTAGATTTGTTGGATACATGGAGAATGTCGAATTGATGTAAAGATAGAGTATTTATTATGCATAGACATTCATATACTCTTATTAACGTATTTTATACACATGCTACTTCGTGCATCTTTTTATATATTGTTTAGATACATTAGCATATACATTAGTTCTATTACTTGAGGAAAGCATACGTCACATTTCATGCCTAGACTTTATACTTCTTATACATTGTTTACATATTTTATTTTTCTTATGTATATAAACTTCTCATATGGTTAAAGTTAGTATTATTTTCACTAAATTCTCGCCACTAATTTGTTGGAAAAATTATCAGTGATACTTATTGAGTACTGATCGGTGTATTCTTATTATATTTATACATTTTCGTGCAGATTTGTCCCATTATTATTGAAGCACTTTGGGAGCTGAGTTGACTTGGAGACTTTGCGGTAAGCTGCATTGCTTGAGTCGCAACCAGCCATTAGATTCACCGTCTAACTTTCTTTTACTGTTCCTTATTTTAAAAATTATTATGCTTTTATCAGACAACCTTATGTTTTGTTCCTTGTAACTCATGACTTTTATCATTAGTTTTTGGGGTTGTATTTGGTGTTAACCTTAAAAACTTTATAATTTTTTGTGTTCCTGATTTAACTTTTCTAACAGAAATACATTCTTTTGTAGGGCCATTAAAAAGAAGTTAACTCTAGCTCCTTTCCAAGTTTACATATTTTTGTTTCAATTTCATGTTTTCAACGAATTAAGAAATATTGTTACTTTTTAATTAGCAAAAGTTACATTATTTCCTTTTATGGTTACACTGGAAGTGCTTTAATTATATTTTCCAAACCTTTTTAATTTGTACAGTACTTCATTATTTCTTTGTATGGTGACATTAAGAAAATAACGAATCTTCTTAAGATTATTCTTTCTCAATTTCACTAACTATTAGTGTGAGATCTTCGCCTCATATTTAGGATTTTCAATCAAATTGGATCAATGGTTAATTTCTAGGTTTCACTTCAGTTAACTTTTCAGTTACTACCTAATAGTTTTTCCACTTATAGTTTGGTGATAGCAAACTCGAATTTTCCGAAGAAAGTGAAACACTTAGTCACATTCCGAAGCTCGGTGGCTAGGACCCAGATTGACTATCTTCTCTGCAGGAGGTTCGATAAAGGTCTTTGCACGGATTGCAAGGTCATCCCAAATGAGAAGCTCACGACCCTTCATAGGCTCATGGTCATGGACCTTGAGATCACGAGGAATAAGAGGAAGAGGGAGGTGTATGGCCAACCTAGGATCAAGTGGGGAGCCTTGATTGAAGACAAAGCGCAGGAGTTGGGGGTTAAGTTGCTGACTATCAGAGCTTCGAGGAGTAGTGGGTATGCGAGCCTGTTGTGGACCACAACGGCGCAGTGCATTAAGGAAGCTGCCAGAGAGGTCCTAGAGGTCTCGAAGGGTTACAATGGTGGTCGCAACGGAGACTGGTGGTGGAATGGAGAGGTTCAAAGAAAGGTGAACACCAAGAAAGTGGCGTATCTGAAGCTAGTGGAAAGCAGTGACGAGTAGGAAAGGAGGTCGAATAGGGAGCGGTATAAGTTGGCTAGGAAGGAGGCGAAGTTAGCAGTTACGGCGGCTAAGACTGCATTATTTAGTCATTTATACGAAGAACTTGAGGGTAAAGGCGGGGGGATAGGAGGATGTTTAGGCTAGCCAAGGTGAGAGAGAGAAAGGCTCGTGACTCGGATCAAGTGAAGTGCAGCAAGGACGAAGAAGGTAAAGTTTTGTTGGATGAGGCGCATATCTGTCGGAGATGGCAGACTTGCTTCCATAGTCTCTTAAACGAGGATGCGAACAGAGACATTGTTCTGGGTAATTTGGAATCCTCCGAGAGTCGTTGTGACTTTGGGTATTGCAGGCGGATTAGAGTTGAGGAGGGCAGAGCGACCGGGCCAGATAAAATACCGGTGGAGCTTTAGAAGAGTGTGGGCAGGGCGGGCTTGGAGTGGCTTACTAGGTTACTTAATGTCTTTTTTAGGAAAAAAAAAATGCCCGAAGAGTGGAGATGGAGCATAATGGTTCCTTTGTACAAGAGTAAGGGTGATGCCTAAAATTACAATAAATATCGGGGTATTAAGCTACTTAGTCATACTAGGAAGGTGTGGGAGAAAGTGGTGGCGCTAAGGGTGAGGAGAAGGGTGTCTATTACCGAGAACCAGTTTGGATTTATCGAGGCGTTTGACTACGGAAGATTCACCTAGTTAGGAGATTGATGGAACAATATAGAGACAGGAAGAGAGACTTGCATATGGTGTTCATCGATTTAGAAAAGGCTTACGATAAAGTCCCGAGGGAGGTTATGTGAAGATGTTTGGAGTCTAGAGGGGTACCTGTGGCCTACATTAGAGTAATTAAAGACATGTATAAGAAACAAAGACCTGTGTAAGAACGGTGGGAGGGGTCTCAGACCATTTTCCAGTCATGATGGGGTTGCATCAGGGGTCGGCACTAAGCCCTTTTTTGTTTGCCATGGCGATGGACGTAGTGACTCGCCACATCCAAGGGGAGGTGCTGTGGTACATGCTCTTTGCAGACGACATTGTTTTGATTGACGAGATGCGAGACGGTATTAACGCGAGGTTAGAGGTATGGACAGAGACCCTGGAGTCTAAAGGTTTCAAGATGAGTAGAACCAAGACAGAATACTTGGAGTGTAAGTTTAGTGGTGCTACTCAGGTAGTGGAAGGGGGGGTGAGAGTGAGGCTGGATTCACAAGTCATCCCTAGGAGGAGAAGTTTTAAGTACCTTGGGTCTATTATACAGGGGAATGGGGAGATTGATGAAGATGTCACACATCATATTGGGGCGGGATGAATGAAATAGTGACTTGCTTCCGGTGTATTGTGTGACAAGAAGGTACCACCAAAACTTATAGGTACTTTTTATAGAGCGGTTGTTAGACCGGCTATGTTGTATGGGGCTGAGTATTGGCCAGTCAAGAGCTCCCACGTCCAGAAGATGAAGATAGCAGAGATGAGGATGTTGAGATAGATGTGCGGGCACACCAGATTAGATAGGATTTGGAATATTCGGGACAAGGTGGGTGTGGCCACTATTGAGGACAAGATGTGGGAAGCACGTCTTAGATGGTTTGGACATGTGAGGAGGAGAAGCATAGACACTCCGGTAAGGAGGTGTGAGAGGTTGACATTGGAGGGCCTTAAGAGGGGTAGAGGTAGGCCAAAGAAGAGTTGAGGTGAGGTGATTAGGCATGACATGGCAACTAGCTGACCGAGGACATGACCCGTGATAGGAAGGTGTAGAGGTCGAAGATTAGAATAGTAGGTTAGGTAGTCTAGATTATTTATACTGGCAGTGTTAGTACGTACCCTCGCATTTGTTTGATAGTAGGCTTATTTGAATACCTGTCGTTGTTTTTAAATTTCGATCATGATGTTTTATACTTCAATACCACACAAGAGGGGGGGTGATTTGTGTGGTGTCCAATTTTTTGCTTAAACTGATTATGGAAGGACCTGGTTCTTCTATGTGTTCCTTCTGGTACTGATGCGGAATAATAAATGTAAAAAGTAAAGAACACAAATATTTTTACGTGAAAAACACCCGGCTCAAAACGTGAAAAAACCACGACATACTACTCAGTAGGATTTTCCCCAACACTGCACTAAATCACTAAGCCAAAACAGCATTTACAAAACTCTTTGTAAACCTAAGGATTACCTCTAATCCCGTTGTAGCACACAACCTCTAACTGTTGCGACAACTTCAAGTTAACTCTAGCTTGAATACTCTGAGTACCTATTACAATTGCCTCTAGATAAAGCTGAAAGGTACAATATAAAACACCTACTACAATTGAACTAGAAATAAAGAAAGACACATAAAACTCTTTATGGAGTTGGTTCTTCAATCTGGTTCATGTAGCTTCAGGTTTGCACACTTGAATCACACACGAACTGCTTGCAAAAACCCTTGCTATTTTGCTCTCAATTCACATTTAACTTCTGTGTTTTTGCGCAACCCGTGTAATGTGAGAACATCCTGCAATTTATAGAGTTAGTAGATGAAGAAATAATTAGAGTTCTGATGCAACTCTTCCTTGGTGGAAGAGTTCTAGTTGATCTCAACTTCTAACTCCTTCCCTATCTTGGTTAATGTTCTCTTTGATTAAGGAGTCCTTCTCCTTATCAATTATGCAACCTTTTCGATCAGGAGATATTAAATACACCAAGTTAAGCTTATCTCCTTCACGTGCATCCCACATGCTCGAATCTGCCATTTTTGTGCACCTGAGGGATGGACCTGGTTCATGCCTGAGTTCCTTTGTCAATCTTCAGAACTAACCTTTACTTGGGCCAACAAATTCCCCCTTTTGATGATGACAAACTGTGTGCTTTTCATATACTTAGGCCCTTCCAGAACTCAGCTCAATATCAACACAAAGTTAGAAAGCTTTTTCCTTTTTATCACTTATCATCAAGGACCAGGTACATTAGGTTATAAACATCACTGTTCAAAGTCTAAACATCAATTGTTTAAAGCACAACCTTTTTCCCCCTTTTGGCATCATCGCAAAGTTGCATAAAAAATGTGAGATAACCAGATTTTAAAGCTTACTCATGGCCACTGGGGCTACTTCAAATGCAATCATGGATTAATCGTCATAGATCAAGCTAAGAATTTTAACCATCAAAGAAATATAAACAAACAGTTAGAGTAAAAATAGTGAATTTCATTGATGATTGATAAGATTCTACCACAAAGCATAAGAAGAAATAAAAATACTGAAAACATGAGCAAAAGAAACAAAAAGTCCCGAATTGGGTCACTGGTTGATGTACTATAGGCTAGGATTTAAGGCTTGGAAGAACTAGGTGCTTGGTTTTTGACTTGGAGGAATTTCAGCATACCTTAAGGAATGCCATCATTCTTCTCTTTTTCTCTTGCCAGCTCAGTTCTGAGAGCATCTCTCTTAGTTTCCACCTCAACCAACCTTTTCTTCTGCTTCTCAATCTCAGCATCCTTAGTCCCACTTTCTTGTATCAAGGCTTTGACCTTGCTATTCATTGGTACCTTTTTGGATGAACTAGGTTCTTTAGGGGTGACATTGACTTCATAATCGCAAGCAAGCAGAGTATTAACCCAAAAATGATCTATGCTTGTACTAACTTCCCACTTTTTCATAGGTACATTGAAATGTGCAAGCACAGTTTTGAGAATGAAGCCATAGGGAATGGTATGAGTTTTGGTGCCATTGACAACTCTATTAATTAGCTGGATTATAGCTTTCAGTCACTTTCTTCAGTGGTCTACGAGGGTTTTCTCTACAGATGAACCAGGTTCATCTCCCCAAAGAACCATTGCACCTGCATCTTTGGTTAAACTCACATGAGTGGGTGAAGAATCAGCCACTCTTGACCCCTTTCCCCTCACAGTACTCCTAGCACCCTTGCTCTTCTTTTTTTTAACCACCAACTTCTCCAGATTATGTAGTCTCAACACCTGCTATAGATCCTACAAATCTATTCTCCAAATTTGCAACAACTTTAGAAATTGCCTCAGGAGAAACTTTAGAATCAGAAGATACTTGTTCAATTTCGGAAGAACCACTTTATTCCTCCTGAGTAGCAGACTTAAAAGAATCAAGGTAGTTTAATACGCTCAAGAGTCTTAAACGTAACTGGTTCACTTGTAACGGATAAGTTCAAAAGAACTTTGGTATTTGGTAGGACTCTGCTCATGATCCAAATATAGTTATTTCAAATTATGCAGAGTGTAGAAAACATACCGTGTTATCTTGATGAACCAGGTTCTTCACTGATAATTCTCTTGTGTAAGTCTAAATTTGCCAAAATAGAGAAAATATCATTAGAGATTAATGAGTCATTTTAACACATGGCACAAGAGTATACTATAGAAAGTATGATACTGAGCAAGATTTAATCTAATTATACACAATTTACAGACTTTCTAACCAACTTTTTCCAATTTGTTTTCATTTTTTTAACCTTGAACTGGTCCTTTTAGGTGATCTTAATCATCCCTAATTCCAACATGTTCCTCTCAAAGTGATCTCTACTTAAGGCTTTTGTGAAGATGTCAGCAATTTTCTTGTTAGTAGCACAAAACTCCACAGTGATCAAGCCTTCTCATAGTTGTCCCTCAAAATGGTGCCTAACATCTATGTGATTAGTTCTCTTATGATGAACCAGGTTCTTTGTCATACTAATAGCACTAGTGTTATCACGAAAATAGGGATGCAACTAATATCAACTCCAAAGTTCAATAATTGCCGTTTGATCCACAACAATTGAGCACAATATGAAGCAGCAGCAACATACTCCGCTTCAGCAGTAGATAAGGCCACCGAACTTTGCTTTTTGGTAGCCCATGACATAAGACATGAACCAAGGAAGTGTGTCATACCTGAGGTGCTCTTCCTATCAACAAGGAAACATGCATAGTCAGTGTCAGCATATCCCACTAGGTTAAAATTACTACCTTTTGGATACCAAAGGCAAAGGTCAGTGGTGACTTTCAAGTATCTCAATATTCTCTTGACAGCAGTCAAGTGGGACTTCTTTGGATTTGCCTGAAATCGAGCACAAAGACCTATACAGAAAACAATGTCAGGTCTGCTAGCAGTAAGATACAAAAGAGAAACAATCATTCCCCTATACAACTTCTGATCAACAGATGAACCAGGTTCATCTATATCCAATTTTGTGGATGTTGCAATAGGAGTGTCAATTTCTTAGGATGTTCCTTCCTGGTTTTGTTACTGAGGAATAGGTTCATGGATAGGTTCCCTCGAGGTTTGAGGATCAGTTCCTCTCTAGTCAGTTCCCCCTGTCATGTTGCCCTGGGTGGAAGGACCTGTACCATCACCTGTTCCTTCATGTGATGCATCTTCAGGCTGGACTGTGGTTTCACCATTTGAATTTCTTATAAGCCCAATCTCTTTATTATCTTGTTCCTGCCTCTCAGAAAGAATGTTAGTTTTAAAAAAATAACATATACCTTTTTTCTACACACATAGTTTTTTTTTATTGTATAACTTATAAGCTTTACTATGTGAAGAATATCCCAAGAATACTCCCTCATCACTTTTGGGATCATACTTACCTAGGGAGTCTTTGTCATTATTGTGCACAAAGCACTTGCATCTAAATGCCCTAAGATGGGATATATTTAGCTTTCTCCCTTTAAGTGTCTCATAGGGAATCTTTTTAACAAGAGGTCTAGTCATGCAACTATTTATGATGTAGCATGCAAAATTCAGCAAACTTAGCATTTTCAAATTCAGTTCCATGATCAGACCTAATTGATGCAAGTTGATTACCTAGTTGTTTCTGAGTTTTTCTAACAAAAGAAGTAAACATGTCAAATGCTTCATCTTTAGATGTTAAGAACAATGTCCATCACATATCTTTTACCATATCTACTTAATGTTCTCATTGGATCACAGAGATCCATATGGACCAGTTCCATCGTTCTGGTGGTGCTTACCACTTTCTTGCATTTAAAAGAGGATCTTACCTGCTTCCCCCTTGCACAAGCCTCACAAACTTTGTCTTTCTTGAACTTGATGTTCTGCAGTCCTATCACCAGATCCTTAGAGACTAATTTGTTGAGTTGACTCAGACTTGCATGTCCAAGTCTCTTGTGCCAAAGGAGGGGATCATTGTCCAATACACTTAAGCAAGTGAGTTTATTTTCTGAAAGTGTGGACAAACCTACAATGTATGTATTATTTACTCTTTTTCCCTGCAAAACAATCTTGTCAGTGGTAAGATTAATCACAAAACATTTGGTAGAGGTGAATGCTACCAAGTTACCTCTATCACATAATTCTGATACACTGATTAGACTATACTTTAGGCTATCTATCAAGTAGAAATTCTCAATAGAGTAACAATCAGTCTTACCTACCTTTCCAACCCCAATGATCTCACCTTTCTTTCCATTTCCAAAGGAGACATTACCTCCTTTGAGGTCCTCAAGTGAAAGGAATTGGTTCTTGCTTCCAGTCATATGCTTTGAACAACTATTATCCATGTACCATATTTGGCTGCTCCCCTTCACTTGGACCGGTAAAAGGAAATAAGGGGTTAGTTTTAGGAACCCAAACTAGTTTGGGTCCCTTTCTATAGGCAAAAGGGTGAATCAGATTCTTTTTAGCCCAACCTGGCAGCCTGTTTTTCCCTTGAACAAATATTTTATTCTTTTGACTAGCCTTTTCTTTTGCATTACATTCACTTTTATAGTGACCAGTCTTACCACAGCGTGTGCAGATTATGTTCTCAGGAAGTATGAGGTACTTGCTTTTGGGATCCCACTTAGGATCAGTGGTCCCGTAGCCAAGTCCTCTCTTATTGCTACTATGATGTTCATGTAGCCATGAAAGTGAATCGGAGGACCTATTCCATTTACAAGTTCTGTCTAGCTCGTGCTTAACCTTGCTTAGATCCTCTTTAAGGACTCTTATTTGCTAATCTATTTTGTACAACTCGTCTTTCATTTTTCCTAGGTTTTCTTCTAATGTGAGTTGTGTGTGATCAGCTTTCTTTTTACCTATTCCTAATTTCAGTTTTAGATTTTCAGATCTTAGCTCTAGGATAGTGGTGTCAAGTTTATGAACTTGGTTCTTTATCTCAGCATTTTTACTATCACTTTCACTAGCCCTAAGTTCCAGATTTTTGCACTTAGCTTTCAAAATCACACACTCCTTAGACAGCTGTTCATTTTCATTGTTTACATCCTCAGATTCATCAATGATATCCAAGAGTAACTCAGATAGACTTTCTTTAGACAAAAATTTAATCTTGTCTTTGAGATGAATTATACTTACCTCAAATTTCTCATCGGATTCTCCAATTGCCATAAGTGCTTGTTCATCTCCATCTTCACCCTCTGAGTCTTCATCTAAGCTTTCTCCCCAGGCAGCAACCATAGCCTTTGTTGATCCTTTGTTCTTCTTGGGTTGAACTTGTTCCTTCATTCAGCTCTTTCCTTCTTCCATTCGATTTCCCACTGAGGACCATTCTTGATCATGTGGTCAGTCTTGCAACATTTGTAGCACCCTTCGTTGGTCTGTTTCTCAGGAGCCCTTGGTTTATTGAAGGTTGTACCTCTTGAAGAACCCTTTCTCTCATCAGGTACTTCTTGAAAGCCCTTGTGATCATGGCCATTTTATTATCCTCTAGATCTGCACCTTCAGCTATTCTGAGAGCCATGCTCCTTTCCTTCTTGGGTGCATCCATTTTCATGGTTTGCCTTCTCAGTTCATAGGCAGTGAGATTTCCAATCATCTCATCCAACTTGAGAGCAGCAATGTTCTTTGATTCCTGAATAGCAGTGATTTTGCTTTCCCAAGTTACTGGTAAGACCCTTGTCAGGATTTTCTCAACCTTGTCTTCTTCAAGGATAATTCTTCCAAGAGACTTAAGTTCATTTGTTAGTGTTGTGAACCTTGTGTACGTCTCCTTGATAGTTTCTCCTTCCTTCATGGTGAAATTCTCATATTGAGAATATAACAGTGTTCCTCTTGATCTCTTTACTTGAGGAGTTCCTTCATGGGCCACTTGTAGAGTGTCCCATATCTCCTTAGCAGTGGTACAACTTTGAATCCTGATGTACTCGTCTAGACCTAGTCCACACACAAGCCATTTCTTGGCCTTGGCATTCTTTTCCCATTTCTTCAAATCTTCAGCAGTGTAGTCAGCTCTTGTCTGTGGCACGTCCACTTCCTCAGCATTCTTCTTTGTAGTAGCCAGAGGACCATCAGTGACTATGTCCCAGAGTTTATAGTTTTCTCCTATGATGTGGTCTCTCATCTTGTTCTTCCACCAAGAATAGTACTGACCATTAAAGAGTGGGGGCCTAGCAGTGGATTGCCCTTCCTAGCTTCCAGGTGGTGCGCTCATCTTGATCTATTCCTAAGGTGTTAACCTCTTCAAGGATAACCTGCTCTGATACCAATTGATGTTTTATACTTCAATACCACACAAGAGGGGGGGGTGATTTGTGTGATGTCCAATTTTTCGCTTAAACTGATTATGGAAGGACCTAATTCTTCTATGTGTTCCTTCCGCTACTGTTGCGGAATAATAAGTGTAGAAAGTAAAGAACAAAAATATTTTTACGTGGAAAACACCCGGCTCAAAAGGTGAAAAAACCACGACCTACTACTCAGTAGGATTTTTCCCAACACTTCACTAAATCACTGAGCCAAAACAGCATTTACAAAACTCTTTGTAAACCTAAGGATTACCTCTAATCCAGTTGTAGCACACAGCCTCTAACTGTTGCGACAACTTCAAGTTAACTCTAACTTGAATACTCTGAGTACCTATTACAATTGCCTCTAGATAAAGCTGAAAGGTAAAATATAAAACACATACTACAATTGAACTAGAAATAAAGAAAGACACATAAACTCTTTATGGAGCTGGTTCTTCAATCTGGTTCATGTAGCTTCAGGTTTGCACACTTGAATCACACACGAACTGCTTGCAAAAAGCCTTGCTATTTTGCTCTCAATACACGTTTAACTTCTATGTTTTTGTGCAACCCATGTAATGTGAGAACATCCTGCAATTTATAGAGTTAGTAGATGAAGAAATAACTAGAGTTCTGATGCAACTCTTCCTTAGTGGAAGAGTTCTAGTTGATCTCAACTTCTAACTCCTTCCCTATCTTGGATAATGTTCTCTTTGATTAAGGAGTCCTTTTCCTTATCAATTATGCAACCTTTTCGATCAGGAGATATTAAATACACCAAGTTAAGCTTATCTCCTTCACGTGCATCCCACATGCTCGAATATGCCCGTTTTTGTGCACCTGAGGGATGGACCTGAGAGATGGTCCTGGTTCATGCCTGAGTTCCTTTGTCAGTCTTCAAAACTAACCTTTACTTGGGCCAACAGATCATCTTACTATCTTGTGGTGTATGCTGCTTTTACATAATTTTTCGGTGTGGTCCCGTCTTGTTTTCTTGTTATTATTGTGAGGGTCTATTGGAAACATCCTCTCTACCTCCACAAAGGTAGGGGTAACGTCTGCATACACACTAACCTCCTCAGACCCCACTATGTCGCATTATATTGGGTATCTTGTTGTTGTTGTTGTATAGACTAGAAGTAGTAGTTTGTAAACAAATCAATTAACATCTTAATTTCGAGTTAAACGGTGACAAATATAATGGAATGGAGGTAAATGTAAATGCTATATTTGGCCAACACTTATTATAGAAAAACAGTAGATTTATATCAAATTATAAAAGACAAGTCCGAGTCAGATGCTGAAGTTGGACGAAATTTGCAAATTTGTGGTGCCCTTAAATATACCAAGTTATTTATTTTTATAGGAATTTAACAAATTTGACATTTCAACGTCTAATAAGGTTGAATACAAAATATAGTAGGTAAATTAGGATCATCATTATAAATTAGGCCATAAATTAAAATTTTCTCTCCAGAATTAACAGGAAATATCAGCTTATTCACCATCTAGCTTCCATATTTGGGGTTGGCTAATCAGTTATTCATAACAATTACAGAATTTATGGTAATTGTACTATATAGTTAATGCATAAATTAACTACTTTTTTTAAGGTGAAAATTATTATCTTTGTAGCTGTACATAAGTTGTAATGTATATATGGCAACTATTAAGGTCCAAGAATAACAATTATGGATAGGAAAGTCCAAGTGAATACATAAAATTATTAAGTTACCAAATTTATAGATACGTAGAAATGTAGCATAATTAAACTACTTGTTTCTTGTATTATAAATACCATAAGACAAAGGCAATTTTTTCCCAAACCAAAATCTTCTCTCCCCCTTTTGTTTCTTGCAATTGTAGTCTTTTGTTTTTTGAAGTGATATATAGAATGTCAAGATCAGAAAGAGAGTGGATGAGAGTGATAAAAGAAGGGCAAGCTTCTCGTGTTGTCTTGTCTTATGAGTTCATTGATAAGTTAAAGAATGTGAATTGGGATGATGTTTTGTATCGGGATGCACTAAAACAACAGTTTGCATCCCAACAGAAAATCTCAAAACCATCTCAAGAGAACCAAGATGACCTTAATAAGCGTGCGGAGTAGTTGGAATTTGTTGTCATTTAGGGTTACATTTGCTCATATAAGCATTTAATTTCATATATTTGTTACTCTATCTTGTCCCAAGTATCAATGTGGCGAACTCAATTCGTGTCAAAATATTTGATAATTTAGAAGAGAAAAAAAAACAATGATTTATTACTTTTTTTCTCTATTCTAACTTTATTGTTTTAATTAGTGGAGTTAATTAAAGTGAGACATTTAAAGATTGATAAAGGTAGTTTAGAGAGTTTTTGACTAAAAACACCCCTGAACTATGGTCTAAATATAAGGTACATCCTTGTGTTACTATAGTAAATACAAATCATATGCGTTAACTAATTAAAAACTTGCAACGTGACTTCCCCCTTAATCTCTCAATCCCTCTCCCTCGATGGTCTTCGACTTTAAGCATATAGTTGAATAGAACCAATGAAGTGTAATGAAAAGGAAAAAAGAAATATGGTTATGTCTTCATCTCTTGTTCTAAAGTGCTGATCTATACTCAATTTATTTCCTTTCTCTTTTTTATTTTAATAATGCGGGAGCTTTAGTAGGTGATGATTTATCATGGAAACAACTCAGCGAATTTCGTATTACTTCCTACAACATTTCAACTAGATGAGTATTTTTACAGTTTTAGAGTTTTTATGATAAGATGGAGGCTCTTTGATCTAAAGAAATACACCCAACAGCCTACTATATAAACGTACTAAAAGATGCTAAACTTAGTTCATTGAATAACGCGACTCGAAATTTACCCACAACATAATTTCATTCTCTTTCAGGCATTTTACCAAACAGGCAAGGGCATCTCAACTCTGACTTAGCAGATTTGGTCACTGAATGGTTTTCCTTAGCAAACTTTCAACATGAAGAGAACAAACACTGAATAAACCCACTCGTGAATCAATTAAAACTTGTCACGGCCCAAAATCTCAACCACGGGACATCTGCTTGGTAGGCAAGCCAACGTTAGTTAAACAATTATCCAATTAAACAATTTCAAAAGCAGATTAGTTAAACAATTATATTAAACAATTTCAAAAGCAGATTATTAAGGAAATAAGTCTGAAATACTCAAAACATATAATAGAATCCATAAACATTGCAGTATAGTCTAATCCCAGAAACTGGTGTCACAAGTGCATGAGCTTCTAAAATACTACAAACAGGGTCTGAAATAAAATACAACTGTCTGAAACAAAATAAAACAGTAAAATAGATAGAAAGGGGATTTCAGGATCTATGAATCCTGTGTAGCTCTACCTCAAGTCTCTTGATAAGAACGGGTTCGAACAATCTCCACTAAGTGCCGCTGGGACCAATACCGGAATCTGTACAATAAGTGAAGACGTGTAGTATGAGTACAAGCGACCGCATGTACTTCGTAAGTGCCGAGCCTAACTCGACGAAGTAGTGATGAGGCTATGACAAGGTACTAAATATAAACCTATGCGAGTATACGTAGAAAACAATAACGAAATAAAGAAACAGCAATTAACATGAGAACCGGAATAAGAAATACACAACAGAGGGCCCCAGAATATCATAACTACTCAGCTTCACAACACAACGCGGTAACGAAACCAATAGCTAAGAATAACCATAATATAACTTCTCTGGTGCGGCGCGTAACCCGATCACATATAATAATAATACCGTTGCGGCACGCCACCCGATCACATATAATAACATTATCGTTGCGGTGTGCAATTCGATCCCATATATAATATCAATACCGTTCCGGCATGCAACCCGAAACTATGTATAATATAAATACTATTGCGGCGTGTAAACTGATCCCATATATATAATATGAATATTGTTGCGGTGTGCGAGCTTATATATATAATATCAATACCATTGCGGCATGCAGCCCGATCCCATATATAATATATATGTACAATACTACAACCAGCTACGACGTATCTCACAACGTAATGCAAAAAGAGAACTAAACGAATGAAGTCTCTACGACAATTCGATATACATAGTAAAGCGAAACGGAAGCAACTAGGGAAAATAAACAAGTAGAGGCATAATACAAGTGAAAACATCAATCTAGTAATTAACATGTAAGAGCATAGAGAAAATAAGAGCGGGCAATAACTGAAGGCGTGAATTCATGGAAACATATAGCACATAGAGGCATGTAATAGGTGAAATCACATATTTAACATTTAAAGACAAGTAGCAATTAAGGCATGTCACTAGTAATAACATGGATTAAATGATGGCATGATATAATTGAAAACATATGCACTTAAGTAACTCACCCCACATGTTTGAACCCATGACAATGCTTATACACTCGTCACCTTGTATATACGTCGTTCCTACATATAAATCACGTAGAAAATAAACCAACCAAGTCCTAATTCTCTGAAGTCAAGGTTAACCACGACACTTACCTCTTTGTGGAACACAATCAACAATCAACCACGACTTTTTCTTTCAAACATGCCTCCAAACTAACCGAATCTAACCAATTATCGTTCAAAAGATTCAAAACAACCTTTAGAAACTACTCACGAAAGAAAAAGGTTTAATCTTTAACTAAATTGAAAATGTCAAGAAAAAAGTCAACCCGGGCCCACGTGGTCGAAATTCGAGATTCGGACCAAATTCCGATTACCTGTTCACCCCCGAGTCCGGATATGTGATTTATGGCGAAATTCTATCTCAATTTGAGTTTTATATTTCAATTTTATAAAATTCCTAAATTCTACCCAGAACCCCTAAAACCTTGAAATTTATAGATTTGATGATAATATTCATGCAAAAGCAATTAAAATTGATTGAAAATTAGTTAAGGTTGCTTACCAATAAATTTGGGAAGAAATTCCTCTTCAAAAATCTCCTCTATGGAGTTTAGGGTTAAAAATTGGTGTAAAATAAGCTACATCCCAATTTTCCCAACTTTTACCAACTACAGATGTTACAATCGCGAACTCTTGTTCGCAATTGCGGCCATCGCAAAAATGAACTACTGATTGCAAATGCTATTAGCTTCCAAGCTCCACAGTTGTCAAAGCGAAGAAAACTGCACAGTTTCAAACCCTGGGCAGTCTGCAAATGCAGACAATTCTTCGAAAATGTGAAGCTGCCCCTAAGTCCACAGTGTCGCAAATGCGACAACACGATCGCAAATGCGAAGCCCTCTCTGTCCACAAATGCAATACTAACTTCGCAAATACAAAGTTCCATTCCCTCTTCATAAACGCGGTACGTTGACCACAAAAGTGATGCTCACATTTGCGAGCAGAACCTTGCAAATGCGAGATTTGCAGACCCTCAGCACTAGCTGATACTCACATTCCAAAACACTCCAAAACATATCTGAGACTCACCCGAGCCCCTTGTACTCCAATCCGAACATTTAAACAACTGTAATAACATCGTACAAAGTCGCTAGTTATCTCAAATCTCCAAAATAACATCAAATATCAATAATAGCTCATCAAAACTCAAGATTTCCAACTTTGAAAACTCAATTTTCCTATTTTTCACAAAATACGCTTAAACGCCCTTAGGTCACCCGGGACCCCAACCAAACATGCATACAAGTCCAAAAATATCATACGAACCTACCGAAATTGTCAAAATACTGATATGAGGTCATTTACCAAAAAGTTGATTGTGGTCAACTCAAATTAATGATAGTTGAACCCTTCAACGGAAAATTTCGTATGCTAGCTCCAATGAGTAGTAGAGGAAAGCTCGGCCTCAGTGCGTCCTACTTGTGTCGTGTTTTAAGCCTGCTATGCATCCTTGCTCCATCTACCATTCCTTACAATCCATTTCTGGTATGCCCGCTGCTTCGTCCAAAATTACTGACAATCCATCCTATCTTTATTGGGATCATACCCCCTTGGACTTTATTTAAATCCTATTTTTTTTTATGTTTTAGGAATTATTCCCTGGGCTTTCAATGGGACCATGCCTTGGATTTCAATCTGAGATCATCCCTTGGGATTAGTTCATTCTCTTGGTTAGTTGATCTCTTGCTTAGTTTATTCCATTTACTGCCCCTCTTTTGCTTGATGAAAGACATCCCGGCAAAGGCCTTGTATATTAGTCAAAAAAGGGGACTCTCATGGGTCCGATGGCTCTTTGACTGGTGTGCCTGAAAATGTGATTGATAAATGGGCTTTTGAAACTCGATTTGTCGCAACAATCTGTCTCCGCCTTTTCAAGTAGGGATCATTTCTCCAAAATAACATCAAATATCAATAATAGCTCATCAAAACTCAAGATTTCCAACTTTGAAAACTCAATTTTCCTATTTTCACAAAATACGCTTAAACGCCCTTAGGTCACCCGGGACCCCAACCAAACATGCATACAAGTCCAAAAATATCATACTAACCTACCGAAATTGTCAAAATACTGATATGAGGTCATTTACCTAAAAGTTGATTGTGGTCAACTCAAATTAATTTTACGGCCAAAAATCATATTTTCTTTAAAATTTCACACATATGCTTTTCGAAAAATGACACAAACCATGCACGTAAGTCATGTATCATCAAATAAAGCTACGAGGGGTCTTGGAACACAGAAAAGAAAGCTAGTACTCAAAACGACCTAACGGGTCGTTACATTCTCCACTCTAAAAGAAACGTTTGTCCTTGAACGGACATAGAAATGTACCTAGAGTAGTAAAAAGGTATGAGTATCTACTCCTCATATATCGCCTCATATATAAGGCCTCGTATGGAGCCATCTGGATGCTCGATTGATAACTATTGTTGTAGGCAAACTCCGCTAGAGGTAAAAACTAGTCCTACTGACCCCTGCTCGCAACATGTCCTTCAAAATCAAAATACTACGCTCGGATTGTTCATCCATCTGAGGATGAAATGCGATACTTATCTCGACCCGCGTGCCTAACTCACGTTGCACGGCTCTCCAAAAATGTGATTTGAACTGCGTACCCCAGTAAGAAATGATAGAAATGGCCACGTCGTACATGCGGATAATCTCTGAGATGTAAATCTGAG